GATAAGAGAATGCAGTCAGAAGCAATATAAAGTACGAAAGGAGAGAAACGAAGAATGAAAAAGTGGTGAGATTCGGTATAGCGCCATTAGGATGAGGATAATGTGTGTACACATCTGCGCCACTGACATCGGTTCTGAGCCATGTCACCTAGAGTCTCGAACCACTGGTTTCCCTTGTCTTGTGGACCCCAGCCACCCGGTCTGCATCGCCCTACATAGCTTAAGCCAACAGTCAAGGACTTCATACATTGGTGCCATGTTTTTGGTCTGGCTGCCTCGCACCTTTTTCCAGCCTGAACCTACTTCAGCAAACATTGTGTGACGAGGCAATCAGCGACTAGACATACGTAACACATGTCCCAACTGTCTCAATCGATGAAGGTCCACAACGTCGTCAACCGACTTACCTCTTCTCCCTAAAATTCTACTCCTGACTTCTGCGTTACTCAGGTGGTGACACCACGGAATGCGGCCTATACTACGAAGGCAACAGTGGTCAAATACCCGAAACCAGCCCTCTCATGTTTTCCACCTTCAATGGCCATGTTTCACAGCCATACAGTAGAACAGACCGGACTGCTGTGCAGTACACGTGACCCTTAATAGATAATCGGATTTCACGGCGACTCCACAGGTGGTGTAAGTTGGCAAAAGCCAATCGAGCCTTTTGTGTCCGTGCAGAGATTTCACCGGCCACTGAGCCACTTGGGTTGATCCTACTTCCCAGGTAAGTGAAGTGGTCGACACACTTAACTACTAAACTCTCTATTGTTAGCCGTGGTACCGTTGAAGACCAATCCTGGAGCATTAATTTGCATTTGGGTGGTGAGAAACGCACCCCAAAGATTCTCAAATTGCCACTCAAGGTGTTCAGAAGGCTCTGCGTTTTGTTAGCGTGTTCACGGAACAGGACTATGCCATTTTTGTATTCTAGGTCTAACGAAAATTCTCCTGTGATTAGGTCAACGTCTGTGTAGTCAGTTGGCGAGAGAGAGAGAGAGACCTCCATGAGAATATCTATGATAAAGTGGAGTAAGAATGGAGAGAGTGGGCACCCTTGACGGACACCAGTCGACGAACACAGCTCCCCGGGCATCTCACTATAGGCTCTAAAACGCCTACAAGGGAGCCTTCAATAAGATGATGTACTTACTTGGCACACCTTTCAGTGAGAGATATTGCCATAAGACTTCTCGATAAAAGGGGTTGAATGCCGCCTTCAGGTCTAGAAATACAACTATTGTCGGGCGCTGGTAAACGTGCCTGTGTTCCCGAACCTGGCGCAGTGTGAATATTTGGTCGATACACCCACGGCCGGGTCGAAAGCCTGCCTAGTTTTCTCGGGTTTTCTGTTCCCGAGCTCCACTCAGGCGTCGGAGTTTTATAGAACCTAGGATCTTGGCTACCATGTTCGTCAGGTTGATTTCTCTGTGGTTGTCACAAGAGGACTTCTTGCCTTCTTGAAGACTGGAATAATCAGTGATTTAAACCAGTCAGAGGGGAACGTAATTAATTCCCATATACCGGTTAATACTTCCGTTAACCAGACTAAGAGCACTCTATCACCATCCTTGTATACCTCAGGAGTTTAGTCTGCCTGGTCCTGCTATTCTTCCTCATTTCAAGTTACTTACAGCTTTCTCGACTTCTGCAAGTGTTGAGGGCTCATCTCAATATTCCATTCAGGATTCGGCTGGATAGCGAGCAATGTGATGGTGGCTAAAGGCCAGTTAAACTGTTCCTTGAAGTGTTCTGCCCACTGTTCCAGTACTCTCCATTGCGAGTGAATCGCAGACCTGTCCTTCTCCGCTATAGTCTCACTAACTGTTGTTGACTTTTTTCCTCCAGTTTCCCAATAAGTGTAAATAACTGTCGTCTACTATTACCGATCGCCGCTGCCTTTCGCTGTTCGCAGTCATTGCGTAGACTTCTCGATCTACTTTCAAGCTGCGCTCCCTCTTCATTGTACTCAAAGCCTGCAGGGATGCGTTCACATGCATCCATTAGTTCGGAAAAAGCTGCTGATATCCACTGGCTCTTTTTAGCCACTCTTTCGCAGTCGGTTACAGTCTTCAGCGCTGCTTTTGCAGCAGACTGGATGTGGCACCAAGCTTCTTCTGGATGAGTGGTAATCTTTTTTTCCGATAACTTCCTAGCCAACTCACTAAACGCTGCTTCGGTGTTTTCGTTGTCGGCTTGAACTCGTAACGGTTTTGTTGCCAAGTTTTTCATACGTCCATTGAGACGCAGACATATACGCGATCAGACCATTGCGTGGTCGCTATCCAAATACGTACTCCAGAAGAAGCGACAGTCTTCCGCAGATCCTCTCCAGCGATGACCGATAGCAATGTGATCTATCCATTTCCATCGCTGGGTTGAGCTCGGTGAACGCCACGTCAGACAGTGTCTTTCTTTATGTCTGAAATTTGTGCTAGCTTGAAATGAGAGGTTATCTGAGCACAGTTGTAATAGACGATCCCCATTATCTGCTTGTTCAGCCGGGACTCCGAAAGTGCCACGTAAGTGCCTTTCTGCCTCACTCAAGCTAACCACCTGTGCATTGAAATCACCTGCAACAACCACCGCGTCTGAACGTTTGGCTTTCAGAAGGAGGCTAGACAGTTCTCGGTAGAACTGGTCCTTCCCTTCATCCGAACCACAGTCAGTGGGTGCGTAAGCAGAGATTACAAAGAGACAACGGCGAGTCTCACTATTCCTTTTCACTGAAAGGTGTGCCAAGTAAGTACATCATCTTATTGAAGGCTCCCTTGTAGGCGTTTTAGAGCCTATAGTGAGATGCCCGGGGAGCTGTGTTCGTCGACTGGTGTCCGTCAAGGGTGCCCACTCTCTCCATTCTTACTCCACTTTATCATAGATATTCTCATGGAGGTCTCTCTCTCTCTCTCGCCAACTGACTACACAGACGTTGACCTAATCACAGGAGAATTTCGTTAGACCTAGAATACAAAAATGGCATAGTCCTGTTCCGTGAACACGCTAACAAAACGCAGAGCCTTCTGAACACCTTGAGTGGCAATTTGAGAATCTTTGGGGTGCGTTTCTCACCACCCAAATGCAAATTAATGCTCCAGGATTGGTCTTCAACGGTACCACGGCTAACAATAGAGAGTTTAGTAGTTAAGTGTGTCGACCACTTCACTTACCTGGGAAGTAGGATCAACCCAAGTGGCTCAGTGGCCGGTGAAATCTCTGCACGGACACAAAAGGCTCGATTGGCTTTTGCCAACTTACACCACCTGTGGAGTCGCCGTGAAATCCGATTATCTATTAAGGGTCACGTGTACTGCACAGCAGTCCGGTCTGTTCTACTGTATGGCTGTGAAACATGGCCACTGGAGGTGGAAGACATATTTGGAGACTCTAGGTGATATGGCTCAGAACCAATGTCAGTGGCGCAGAGGTTTACACACATTATCCTCATCTTAACGCTTTAACGAATCTGACAATTTTCTCCTTCCTTTCTTTTTTTGGCATTTATGTTTTTTTTGACTGAATTTTTTTTCTTCATTTTATACTTCACTGCCTTTTTACTTGATGTACTGATATGAGCTGTAGCAACTCGGACTGTTACGCAGTAATGGCTGGTCCTATGTTGATTTGAATGGAATTTTAAAGCATATACGGTCTATAACCTTTAGAAATGTTGTTCGTTTCATTTTTTATGGGATAAGGGAGGTCGTATATGCGCACCTGAGGTTTATTGTTAGTAAATGTCCGTTTATCTGAGTCTTAGCCTTTACAATGGATAATGCCTAATTTGCGTTAAAAGGACTAGACACAGTAGCTTAAGTGTTGAATAGTTTCCTATGATTTCGCTCGGTTATACATATTTAGACAGCTGATGCACGGCCGCTGATTTAAGTAGCCTAGAAGTGTCACATGAATTCTAAATGAGGTTTAGTTGCGGAGTGAGGGTCACTCATGGAGAAAATAATGATAATAAACCTTTAAGTCTCGTGAACTACGTATAGTTTTATCCACTGGAATACATAGGACACTTATTCTGCAAATGAATGACACTAATTACCTAGTCGAACTTTAGTAGATTTAAAGTAGATTCTACAACTCCAATCAGATGAAAGGAAGTAAAGTTTTCTACTGTCACCTGTAACAAAGTATAACCTTTAGCGGAAACCAGTACACTGTTTGCAAAAGATATATAGTTCTAACACATTAAATGAAATCATCTGAAATATACAAAAACAATTATTCGAATTTAGAGTAGAAAACCGTACTATGACAAAGCCATAAAAAAACTCCGTCCCGGCTTAGAGTGCCACTATATTACTATCATGCACAAAAGTCAGATACAGTGAGTCCTAGAAACGTAGGTGGAGGAAGAGACTGATAACTCCATTCTATTTAGTCAGTTAGATCTGAATGCATTCAATACACTTGTTTCGCATCTAGAAAGTAACATTACTTCAACAGCAAAGAGAAAAAGATAACCAGAACTACAAAAACTAGTTTTCAAAAATGCGGAGTTAGCTTAACATGACTGCAGACGAGAGATTAGACCTGAAGTTTTTACATCAAACCATTTCATAAACCAATAATAAATATAGGGTTCGACAGCTTAGAACTAATGTTCTTATTAGTATTAATAAACACAAACATGGGTAGCCAGAAGGAAAAAAGTGCTTTTTAAAAACGTGATTACTTACTCGATGTTCGCATATTCGATCGCTTTGATTGTGGACCCAAAATATCTAAGCAACCACTATAGTCAGAAGTCTAATTTAAAGCAAAATAACTTACGAATTCCGCTTAACAGCATTAGTCAAAAGGGCACGCTGACTTGAACCTGCTTTATTGTATAAGGGTTTCGGGGTGATGTCAGAAGTAGCATTTGTAGCTGGAATATGAACTGATCGGGTTGCTTGAATGTATACTTTGAGTTAAGAAAAAAGCAGAGACGAGATTTATACAGTAATAAAAGAGATAAGAAACTAAAAAGGATATATTTGCTTCTCTAACTAATTCAGCAACCTCTTTTCTTTTTCCAAATCAGCTTTGTACTGTTTAGCAGCAAGCGTTTGCAAATATTCAACTTCATCTTCATCCAAACGATGAATTCGGTTTTTAAGTGCATTACTAGCATCATACTCCTCCTGCTTTCTATCCTTCTCCGCCTATAATTTTCGAAAAAGGGCTAAATTTCAGTTAGTAAGCCAGAGCAAAGACTACTCAATCACATACAGTAAAGAATTACTAGTGTGCAGACGTCACATCAAGTGTTTTCAGAAACTAACTAGTCATTGGGTTGTCGTTACAGGACCACATCTTCCAATCATACACGTTGTAATAAACGCCAAAGTTGAATAAACATTCGTGCATGACACACCTAATTTATTTCGAATGAACGCTCCATTTTCTCATGAAACTCAACCTGGTGGTTATACTACGTTATGAATTACACAATATGCGAAAGTAAACGATACTACCCAGTTGCCCAGGTCGAAGTAAGTGGAACAGGATTTGATGCCGTAAATACCAAGTTGGAGTGAATTTATGTCAGAAAAACAGGAAACCAACTTTATTATAGATTTATTCAACTGTTTTGTGTACGACAAATTAATTTACTAATAATCAGGTTTATAATTTCAGTGAGTCATGAATGCCATAGGACACTATGAAAATCAAATCTCTAGAGTGCGTTGTCCATTGCCATAGTGGTAAAAAAAAATCATGTTTCTGATTGTTTCTATTTTATTCAAATGCCCTGGCAGCTGACACAAAGAAACATTTAGCATATCTAACGACACTATAAAAGCATGGCATTATAAATTTGGTGTTACACCTATTCGATTATATATCTTTAGTCCTTTTTAACGGCTTTGAGACATGGCCGTTAAAAGCAGAAGAAATGAAGCGATTGCTGGGTTTTTATCAGATGTCTTCGTGGCATTGACCGCGTATGATGGAATCAAAAGGTGAGCGGTGTTGGGGTCAGGTGAAGGGTACTAGGAACGATTGATTGGTGAGGTCGTGAACCTTAATCAGCTGCGATGGCTTGGTCACGTACTGCTCATGCCAAGCCACTGTCTACTTCGACGTGCAGTGCCAGAGAAAGTTGGACTAGGTTAAGAGGGTCCAGGGTGGCCAGACAAAGGAGTGGAAACAATCCATGAAGTCTGTGACTGTTGGTTTGTGTTGTGTGGGGAGATGTAGACTACCTTGCTGGAGTCCCTAAGACGTTAGGAATCAGTGGTTGAGGATTCTTGGTGACATGCCTGAAGATCGGTCACAATAGTGCGGATGTATTCAGTACTTAGCATCTTCTAAAGCTTGATTTGCGTTAACCCTGTTTATTCATTCACATAGCTTTGTCTACTTTAATATAGCTTTTCCTATTCACCTGCTTTTGGTATACTACTGTGAAGTGTGGAAACTTGAGCTGATGCACGTGCGCGAGGTTCTACATTGGTTTTATCTGTTTGGATGGTCTACGACTCCCAACGTGGCTAAGACCAAACGTCAGAGACTTCATGGACTGGTGTCACGTCTTGGTCTGGCCAATCTGAGCCCTCTTCAGATGCAATCCAACTTCTGCTGGCACATCACGAGGCAGGCAGTGGCTCGGCATGCGCAATACATGTACAACCCACCTCACCTGCCGAAGGTCAGCAACCTCATCGACCGACTTGCCTAGCACCCTTCGCCTGTCCTCAATATTACCCATGGTGATCTTATCATTTGAGGATTGCTACAAAAGCACCTATGGTCAAAAACCTGTAATTTCTTTATGCCTGCTGCTTTCAGTAGCCATGTCTCACAAGGGTACGACAAGATCACAACAAAAGTGGGAATACTCAGGCAGTATTTATTCACACATTTACGAGGTGTCATATATATAATCTTTCCTCATTGATCAATAGACTGTTTGTTCAGTTGTGTTCTATATAGTTGATAGCTGTGCTGATTCACCTTTGTTACATGTGTTGTGAGTGACATGTATTAAATAGGGATCCTGTCAATAACCTTTCTTTGTGTTTTTGTTGAACTTTAGTAAGGCAATGTTGTTCCAATCGATGTTTTTCGCCCCATCCATGAACTACTATCAATGAATGTCTTTCGAACTTTCTGTCCCTCTGCAGACTGGTCTTTGGTTAATCTTTGGTGTCCATTCAGTCTAGTTCTCAGTGATTTTGATGTTTGCCTTACATAGCTTATTGTGCACGCGGTATTTTATACGCATCATTCTTGTTCAATTTTGATGAAATGAGATGGAGGGGTAGTGAACCAGTAACAAAACATTGAACAAACCATATGTATGTTTTATGAAAACCATGATAAGCTCATGAAACTTATGTTACAGACGTGAACGGTAAAATCATAGCTTTGAGATAATGGTATATATAACCAATGGCTGACTTTTAGGGGAAGTCCTGACCTATCACTCGGCCTTCATTACACATAGGACCCATGAAAATCCTGATCAGGAGAGAAAATCACATATGAGACAAAAAATATTGCTTTCTTGTCGCGCTTCAAAACCAGTTAACTTGAGACATTTGACTCCTCATTATACAGAATATAAGAAGAGCATAATTTACTTGCCTGCAACCTTTCATAGAGGGACCTGGCGTCAATAGGAGCTTCAACTATACCTTCAGCCTCCTGTATCTTTTTCCTGGCTTCAACATCAACTTCAGATATAAATTTCGGCATCACTGTATATTACTTCATGAAGCGTTTTGAAATCGCCGCTTTGAGATATACCGCTCAGCTTTCAGACGTCCAATATGCGTTGTAAATTGAATAAATTGGTTGATTTTCCAAGCTTACTTCTAGGCCTCGCAATAATAGTTCAACAGCAAACTGGGAAGTAGTACATCAAGTAAAGTAGCAGAAGACTCAACCACTTCCATAATAACAGTGGCAACGAAATAGAATAGTTACGAAAATTACAGAAGTCGAACTGATACCACAACATCAAATTTCCTGGGCGAGTGCAATTCGTTCTTATTTTATAAACAATCTAACCTCTATGGAAACTGTCAAAATATTGAGAAGTGATCACCACAGCAAATAATATGTCCCCAGTAGCTAAAGTTTCAATGGGAAAACAAGTGCGATAGCACATCGACTTTGGCATTTTGCTTAGATTTTCACAGAAACCAATATGGTGGGCTTCGTATCATATCCACTTCTTTCGATCTGGTTTACTAGTACCTAGTGGGCTGTTCATAAGGCAACTTATCGTACAGTAACTAAGAGGAAGACGGCCTAGATCCTTCATTCCATATTTTTATATGGTTTTTCGCTGCATCCTAGCAGTTCAGATTTGTTATTAGTCTAAAGATTTGAATGTCTCTACAACCTCCCCCAAATGCATCCCAGAATACCTTTTTGGCAGTCCATCACATTTCAAGACGAACCACTGGACCACGCTCGCATCTTTTTCACTGTTGTCTTTTCAAAGTGGAGCAACCAGCCACCCACATCGGCGTGACTCATTAAGGGCTTTTGTTCCTTCATGACACCAGTTTTTTCTGTGTTGGGAGAGATTCAAAAACGTCTCAAGCCTAAAAAATAGCGTAAAACAGTAGGAACCGGGCTGACTTTTAACGTGTTCTAGCGGAGATAAGAGTCGTTACTTGAATATTTCTTCCATCGGATAAGGTATCCACGTCCAGCCGTTCCACGAACTCTCTGTAGGGGATAACGAGCATTTTCTGGTAACATATTTCTCCTTGTAACCTATTTCCAAGGTTAGGCTAACCTACAGATGTTTTGTAGTTATTCAGCATATGACAAATAATAGTGAACAGTAACTTGAAGAGAATGCATAACATTCCTGGGCAGATGACATCGACCGAGAAGTATCAGCTCAAGATTTATGAAGATATCCGTTATTTTGCCTCAAATCGTATTACAGAGGTATCCATCTAGTGCAGCATACGCTTACCTATCAATACTATGCGATTGCAAACGCGTCTCTCAACATTTATTTCTGGAAATTGTTGACAATACTTACAAGAGAAGGAGAAGCAGCAGCTAGTTTCCAAAATGCAATCTTTATATCACTCACGTCGTTAAGCTTTTGCCGCGTGTCTTAATTCACGTCTACAATAATATGCGTACTCTTAACGTGCGACTGCTGTGACTTATTAGGTTATAGTTAGTCTGCAACAGCTAGAGCTCTTAACCTTAATACTGCACCCTACCTACCTTATCCTTACACTTATTCATAACCGTTCCCGTTCTTGGCATCATTTACTCCACATGGCTGCAAATTCGGTGCAAACTTCTCTTCATCCTGCTTGGATTGGTCATGAAAAATAATCATTCAAGTTTTGGTTTGATATCTTTCAGAATTTAGCTTGAAGGCTGTACGTATAATCTTCCTTCTCGATTTCCAGACTTTTTATCATCAGCAGAAGTTGCGAAGTAGGTTCCTTTGGGTTTTGCAATACGATTACTCGCAAACTACGCATTTAACGCCTTCAGGAGCGCCTCACTATTCTGCACTCTGCACCAGTTCTATAACAAGAGTTCCTTCTTGATTTGTGCCCTTCGTCTTCACCAAAACAATCTGTGACAACAAGCGACCTGGAGAGCAAAGCTTTTACCTTCAGAGGTTCGCTAAGCGCAGGTACATTTCACGCCGTAAACTGAGATTCATAAAACCGGTGTATGTGTTTCATGCCGTCTGAACTTTAACAAACTTCCACCATCTCTTACAAAAGCCGCGTAGGTAAAAGAATGAAAATGCTGAGCAAAACTTGTCTATACTCGAGCACATTCCTTCTCTTCAGATTGTTCAAAAAGAGTGAACACAACCTTTCCCTTCCCAGAACCTAACCGTGTGCATCCCAAAAATGTGGTTTAGTTTGCATTGCATTTTGCAACTCTATTTTCAACCACTGGCCAGGGTCACTTACACGGCAGTCAGGAGTAGAATTTCCGGCAGAAGAAATTCAGGTGATCAGGTTGCCAAACATCACTGACTAATATGTCTGGGACATATTTCACGCATGAACAGCCACTGTCGGCCCCATCCCGAGGCGTCGACTGAAGCAGTTTTCTTGCACCGCAACAAACATCTGAACAGGCATTAGGGTAGCGTCAAGTTCCAACCTGGCGATAAAAGCAGTTTTTTGGTGTGAAACCTTTCACACATCAATTACTAACCAAGCATAGGTGGCGCCCTCAAAAATAGAGTGGATGTAAATGGCAGCACCATATCAAAATCCGAAAGCTTCAAGAGTGTGTGAATTTCACTAGTCCGTGATCATCTTTTGGCCTAAAAGAACGTGGTTGCGTTTGAAATATATCTTGACCATTATGTCTATTGTGGGGCTAACTCCCTGTTAAACTAGTCATTCCGCTGCAACTTCCCTCTACATTTCTTTCGAAATGCATGGGTGGTAGACAGTAGGAAAAGTAAGAGTCAGTGGCACACCTTTACGAGTAGCTTGTCTGCAAGTTGATTCAGACTAGAACCAAAGGTAACAACTTCAACTGCTGTGCGGCAGCCTCAGTCCGAAACAATCTGTGGACTTCAGGAGGGTACATAGCCTTTTTCAGATGGTAGCTGACTCAGTCCTAACAATTCAGCGGAGACTCAAGCGAACAATTCCTAAAGTAGTTGGTTGTTTCTGTTACAATGCTGTGACAGTTAAAGAAGTATCAAAAGGCAAAACCTTTTACATTTGGGCCGACACGAGGGATGCGAAACCAACATATCTGTCCCCAGTCTCTGTGTCAGTTACAAACTAATCGTGGTACTTATGTGGCTACCATGTGAATTGAGTAAATAATGAACTTTTGAATCTGACCACCAGAAAAAAACCCAGTTGACCCTGCTCACGGTGCAAGTACAGGTATGCAGCATCTCCTCTTATGTATCGGAATAATCTTACCAAAGTGACTGGCTGTTTCAAAGGCTCTGAGCTACGTCTGCCTATGGTCACCCCCTCAAAATTGGTTAATCGGTAATATAGGAGAGCCGTTGGGGTTGTCTTGCTTTCAGGCAATGATATTTTCTCAACTGTCGGTTATTCGTTTAAACTCATGCCTATCACGTACAGAAGTAATGCTGATCCTCTACCATCTGAAAGAAACAAACGCTACCGTTGTCCCCTCTCTCGGCCAATCATACCAAACAAGGCTGAATGCGTAAAGAGTTTGCTGACAGAAATGTGTCGGAACATTATGTAGCCAGGCAGATGGTGGATAGTTATACAACCAAAGTCTCTCCTTCGCGCGCAAGCGTTCTCAGTAGCGGAAAATTGGTTTTACTAGCAGTCTCTGATGACAGATTTGTTCGGTCAACATGACTCCTCTGAAAAGATGAGGAACTCTGAGAGATAGATAGAGTTATCGCAAGCCATCCCCTAAGACAATGCTTATGCCGTATAGATAAAACTAGATAAGTATTTTGTTCTCATGTTATTAATTTAACGTGAGAGAGGCCGGTTTACGGGCATCACTGGATTGATAACGGTTTGGAAACCTACGGCATTTGAAGGGCTGACTAATAGAGATAAGAAGATAGTAAACTATCACAATGTGAAAAGCATCTGAAAATTGTACGAAAAGCAAGGATACCATCACTCTTTGGTATACACATAGTATTTATAAGCTTGGATTATTTTCAGCCATCTTTTGCTCATGGCTGACATCAAGGCCATGCAGTATTCGACGTTTGCAATACGAGTACGCAACACGTTTGACTCACCGGTATTATTATTTGTCCCTTGGGTTCCTAGTGGAACATAGGACTTCAGTAGCACGTCTCCATCCCACTCTGTTCTCTGCAAACTTTTGAACCTGGCTCCATGACAGCCCACAAGCTCTCATTTCTTCCTCGCACGATCTCCTCCATGTAACCCTCGGACGCCAACCTTGTCTCTTCCAATGACGGTTCAACTTGAGAGCAAGGCCCGGCGCGTGATGTCCTCAAATGGTCTTCTCACTGCATGCCCAATCTAATCCATCCCCACTTTCTTCTGTATATTTGTTCAGCGATAGCTTCTTGGTTGATTCGTTCCCAGAGTTCCTTGTTGTGTACTCTTTCTGGCCATCTGAGCTTCAGTATCGAGCGTTGGCAGTTGTTGATGAATGTCTGTAGTTTGTTGGAAATGCCTTTCGTAACGCACCAAGTCTCTGAACCATATAGAAGCACTGACTTAACTGACATTGGTGTGGAAAATCCGGATCTTGTTCACGCTTTGTGCTGAGTGCAGAAAATCTCCACACTGGTTTCAGGCTAATGAACGCCTGTCTTGCTGTCTTTCCAATCCTGGCTGGCTTTGACGTCCTCATCTGTGCCGCCTCCTGCAGTTGAAACGGTGCTGCCTAGGCAGGTGGGTAAAAGAGACTACTTCCTTTAGGTTTCTCCCATTGTTATTGTTAGTTAGGCACCTTCATCACCTGTCTTCTCTACGTTCACCTGAAGGAAGTCCCATCTTCGCTACCCTGCCTCTTCTGCCAACTTGTTGGTTTTCGCCTGTTGATCCTCGAGTTTGTGTCACAAGACATCAGACATAAATCGTCATTGGCGAAATCCAAATCTTCTAGGGTCTTCTCATCGGTCCAGAGTATGCCTCTCTTCTCACAGCTCCTCACTGTTTGTTGCATGGTCCAGTCCAGTCCAGTCGACCACAATCAGGAAGATCATGGGTGATAGTAGACAGCCTTGTTTTACTCCTGTCTTCACTTCA